GGAGCGGAGCAGACCCCGGAGGTTCCCTTTGTGGGGGCGGGGGGGGCGGGATTCGTGATATGCGGCTTCTCTGGACGTGGGAGGGAGGCTGCTCTGGGCACTGCCCGCAGGTGGCACTGCCCTGCCCGCAGGGACTAACAGGGGTCACCTGAAGGCCAGACTGTGCTTCCCGGAAGGCCGAGGTCTGGGACCCTAATCTCTGCCCTGGGCCCCGGGGGGCCTGTGTGACCCGGCTGCTCTGCCTCATTAAGACTCTGGCTCGGTGTGACAGGCACGGACGGTGACTGAGAACCTAAATCCTCACCAAAGCCCCAGAGTCAGAAATAGACTTCGCTAATAAAGTTAGGTTGTAAATCCCTATTAATAACAGAAATCTATTTAAAGAGACACACAGACAGTAAATGTTCTAACTCACTGAGTTTACAAGGTGATGGAAACGTAAGATGCCTCCACGAGTCATCTGTGGGTCGCACCCCGCATGACTTGGTGCTGGTCTCATCTCACGAGCAGGAAACTCGCGGTGAGGAACGCCAGCGCCCATGCGCCCCGAGTGGCTGCAGGTCCTTTGCAGCATCGTCTCACGGGCAGCCCCAGCAAATGCCAGCTCCCCGAGACCTAGACTGGCCCGGGGGGGGGGGGGGGGGGGCCTTTGTCCAGAGGCGCTGCAGTGTTTAGTAGACACCAAAGCTAATTAAATACACAACCTGCTTACGTTACAGGTGACCATCTTTAGGCACCTGCCTGGAGACACGGGGAGATGCTCAAATTTTGCAAGGACTGCCCCCCCCCCCCCCCCCCCCCCCCCCCGGAAAGCAGCATGGACAGCTCAGAGCCCACGGGGTCCACCAGCCAGGAGGGAGGCCCAAACATGGACTGGCTGACTCCTGGGTAGAAAGTGCCCGACGGAGGGGAGGTGAACCAGAGAGATAGTGCAGGGTCCTCTCCTCCCCCCCAGGCGAATCTTTGTCTGGAAACCTGCAAACCAAGTGCAGTCGATCTCATTGTTCACGTAGTTCAAGGTCGGCCGGAATCAGCGAGAGCTGCACCACTGCTCCTGGGGAAGAATGAACATAGATGCAAGGAATACACATCGCACATGGGTTACAGCCTACAATCCTACAACCGACTCACCCCAGCAGAGTCTACTTTCTTTCCTTTTTTTAAAAAAAACTTTGTAATTGATTTTGAGAGAGAGAGAATGAGAGAGAGAGAGAGAGAGAGAGAGAGAGAAACATGGATATGAGAGCAATACATCGATCAGCTGCCTCCTGCACAGCCCCTACCGGGGATCGAGCCCACAACCCGGGATGTGCCCTGACCAGGAATCGAACCAGCAACCTTTTGGTGCACAGGAAGACGCCCAACCAACTGACCCACACTGGCCAGGGCCAGATTCTATTTTCTTCATTTTAAAAAAGAGAAAACGAGGCTCAGACCTGTTACGTGACTTACCTGAGGCCATCCCTCTAACAGGGGTCAGAGGTGGGGTTCCCCCCAGGGCCGCGCTTCTTGCTCTGCACTGCACAGCCCCCTCCTGGCTCTAATTCCTACTCAGGGGGAAACTCGTGATAACCCTGAACTGCTGTGGTCAAAATTCTACTTCCCGTTCCCGCACCTGCCGACTCCGGCTCCAGAGAATTCTCACCTGTGCGGGGTGCACCTGCAGGCAGGTCTCCCCTCTCCTCTCCCCAGAGGTGTCTGCCCCGCCCCTGAGTTCTGAAAATCTGGACGAGCATCACCGGCCCCGCAGGTCTTCCCTGGAGGTGGTGTCTGCACAGAGCGCTCCGGGTCCAGGTAAGATGGTCCCAGGTGCTCAGCTCCACGTGCTTTAGGTGAGAGCAGCTGGGGGTGGAGCTGAGTTTTGAAGAAGGGGCGATACAGGGGGAAGATAAACCAGAGGTGGGCCAGGCAGAAGCCCGGACGGGGAGCAGGTATCTGGAGTTTACCTGATGAATCGACAGGACGCGCAGAAGGAGCCCCGGCTCATGTGGTGCGTGCCCTTCGAAGCCCGGGGAGAAGGAGTGGGTCAGGGAAACGGAGGCCCCAGGCCAATGAAAGGCGGAGGTGGCGATAAAATGAGCCGGTTTGTCTCCGTGGATCCGAAGGGTCCTGGGTTTGATTCCGGTGAAGGACACACACCTCGGTTGCAGGATCCTTATGCATGAGCCCATGCGGAAGGCAAACAATTGATGTGTTTCTCTCACATTGATGTTTCTCTCAGTCTTTCCCTCTCTCTTCCACTCTCTAAAAATCAATGGAAAAATATCCTCGGGTGAGGATTTAAAAATAATAATAAAATAAGCCTTTGCTTACCTGAGACCCAGTTCTCTCCTACGAGGCTCGTCTGAGACAAGGCGGCCGAGCATTTAGGAGCTAGACGGTGAGCTCGGACAGTGAGCTCACGCTGGGCACCCGCAGAGGCTTCCAGAGGGCAGAGGGCAGAGGGCAGAGGGCCAGAATGGCATTGTGGCTTCAGGAAGCTTTAGGACTAAAGGAGGTGGGAATTCTAGAACCAGGGAGGATCACAGCACGTCCGATGATGGACTATAGAATCTTAGGGGGAGAAACGGGATGACTGTCAGAACTCTGAGCAGATCATTAGTCCAAACGCAGAAACGCTCTGGGGGTTCTACATAACATTTAAACGTTTTCGACAGAACGAACTTCATCTCTTAAAGGCCCCAGCATTTCTTCGAACTTGCAGTAACAACGGCGCGTCCTACCCTTTCCTCCGGCGCCTTTTAAGTTCGCTGCGGCCCGAGGACTCCATTTCCTTTGAAATACATACACTTGGAGCTATTTTGGTATCGGTCATGTGTAATATCGGGTTTACAAAGCACAGACATGAATATATGAGCGATCTCACGTTTTAATATTAAGAGATGGAGCAGGCGGCCAAGTTATTACCGTGTGGTCGAAAGCCAGCGCTCCAGCCATTAGAGGACCCGCCCGGAATTTCTGAGTCATCGCCAGCCGCTCCGCAGTCTGGCAGCCACATGGCGGCTCAAGACGCAGGTGGTTTTGCCATAAACATCAAAGGCCCACACTTGACCCCGTGGAGACCCTGCCGGGTCCAGCCGTGAGAAGGCCTTGGAGGTGCCCGGAGCCCTGCCTGGCCCGGGACCGCCTCGGTGTGCGCGTCCTGTG